CCCCCCCCCCCCCCCCCCGTGGTACAGGCACAAGGGAGGAGGTGAAATCCCAAGGGACATAAAATCTGGGGAAAACGATCAATGCAATAGTAAAGAAAAGAGTCAGAAGAAATGCTTGGTTAAGTCCACGTGGTTTGCAGGCATTAGCATCATATGCCCGACACTAGAGCATACTGAAGAGTTGCTGCTGTGTTCCTCACCATTTCTCACCGTTTGAGTCAAAATGTTCAGAATAAAGGGAGGATATAATAGATGAATAAATGTACCTTGTCTTGTCTTGCAGTTTTTGAGAGAAAGAAAAGCAAAGGAAATAGCTGAGTGCCTTCTGTGTACTTTGACGTATGTTATTTCTCCTAATCCTTACAGTAGCTGTATGAGATAGGCATTACTGTCTCAATTTTACACATGAACAAAATGAGATTCTGAGCTTAATAACTAGCCCAAGGTCACGTGGCTCAAAAATGGCAGCTAGGATTTGAATTTGGGGATCTCTGCCCCAAAGACACAGACTTTCCATCTCACTATGTTGATTCCCAAGAAGGCTGTTTTTCTCATTTCACTGTGAGATTGAATTCTTGTCCAAGAACTATGGACTGTGATTTTTGTATGCATCCGGCACATTTTTGTGGTATGTCTTCATACTCACATGCTTGTAGTACTATTTGGATTACGTAAAAACAGACCCTTCTTCTATGAAACATGAAGTGGCACCTTCTTTGTTTGGTACAAAACCCTCTGGCATTTTATTGTCTCGGAAAGGTTTTTGATTGGCTTTCTCTTTTCTGGGGTAGGGGTTTTTTTGTTTTTTGATTTTTGGTGGGTTTTTTTTGGGGGGGAGGTTGTATTTTTCAAATAAATCTTCCCCCAAAAGTCAAGCACATGTATAAAAAGGTAATATCCCTATTTAAAAACCTGAGCATTCTCTGTAGATTATAGAACATTTGAAACTTTAGGAGAGCTAATCCCACCAGCGTTTCCTGTGCTGTTTTATATTTGGTTTGGAGACATTATGGTTTGGAATCACGACTCCAGTAAACATGTAGGAAATAGAGAAAGACTGAACTTCAGAGAAACAATAAACAAAATATGTATATGTGGATTCATTACTAACCCTTACTACTTTAGGCCAATTTTTTCTGTTCTAATCTTTGAAATTAGAAACACTGTTATATAGATACTAAGAGAAAAGAGTGTATAAATTAAACAGAAAGTGATTTTCAATTCAGACCTTTTAAAAGGTAGTTTGCTGAATTACTGATCAATTGAACTTAATATTATAAAATGGAACTTTATTAAGCATTAAGAAACTTAAACATTAAAATAGATGACATATGTCTACACTTTTTAAAGTTATGAGAACTTCCTGTTCAGGTGGCAGACTGGGCTTTAAGTGCTTCTTTCCTTCTTTTCAGAATCCACTTACTCACTATAAAGCTACAGAAATGGAAATAAATCCAGAATAACACTGAGAACAGGAAGAAATGCCATTAGCAAAACAGAAATTTAGTTTAGTTTCTGGAAAACAGAAAGTAATAGGACCCTGCTGAAAAATAATCCTGAGCAGAGAAGGTCATGACCCAGAAAAAGGAAAAAAGAATCAAACAAACAGGAACGAGCTTTAGTGGTGATGGGCACAGCCCTGGGGAGCCCCAGGAGAGCCTCCAGATTTCCACTCAACCCCAACAGAGAGCAGGCGTGGACTGCCAGCACTGCTAGCAACATCTGGGCCGTTCCTCCACCTTGCTCCTTCACCCCTGTCCTAGCTGGAGCTCATACACAGCTTTCAGTCAGATTATCCTCTCAAAAACCCCAAAAGACCAAAAACCACAGTAATAAATGCTAAAATGAAAGAACGGATGACTAGAACCTCTAGCTGGGAACTGATACCTAAGAGAGAAACAGTAGGATTCTAAGATAATACCACATCTTAAAAGCAGACATAGATGAGTGCTGGAAGAAGAATCAACTTTCCTCAAGAGAGAAATAAACAAAAATTCTACGCACTTCTGTTGGGGGGCTATGTAGAAGGAGGGTGTGGGCTCCCGGCTTGCCTGGAGGCCTCTCTTCTCTTGAACCCTAAATAAAACTTTCTGATCAACATACCCTCTCCATGTACAAAAAGCCCCAAATCAGGCCTTTCCTACAAGGATCAGGTGTGCTATAAAGATCAATCAGTATGCTAGTCCAGGAAATCTGTGCCAGTTACCTTTGTTAACCAAACTGTTATACAGAAATTTGAATATGTAACCAATGAGCACCAAAAAAAAGAAGTACTGGCTGCAGAAGAAATCTAGTTAATTCAAAGAGAAGAAGAAAAGAGTTTTAAGTATAATTAAAGTCTTCAGAAAGATTTGAAATTATTTGTAATAAATAGGAAGAGAATAGATTGGTATGAAAAGAAGCAATTACAGAACAAATGAGCACTTGAGAATTAGAAATACGATTGACAAAATAAAAAATAGAAGAGATGGAATGTAAAGCTGAAAACTTTTTTTTTTTCTGAATTAAAGCAAAACACAGCTAGAAAATGTGGAAATTAAGTTACACAGAAAATCAATCAGGGTAGNGTCCTAGCTGGAGCTCATACACAGCTTTCAGTCAGATTATCCTCTCAAAAACCCCAAAAGACCAAAAACCACAGTAATAAATGCTAAAATGAAAGAACGGATGACTAGAACCTCTAGCTGGGAACTGATACCTAAGAGAGAAACAGTAGGATTCTAAGATAATACCACATCTTAAAAGCAGACATAGATGAGTGCTGGAAGAAGAATCAACTTTCCTCAAGAGAGAAATAAACAAAAATTCTACGCACTTCTGTTGGGGGGCTATGTAGAAGGAGGGTGTGGGCTCCCGGCTTGCCTGGAGGCCTCTCTTCTCTTGAACCCTAAATAAAACTTTCTGATCAACATACCCTCTCCATGTACAAAAAGCCCCAAATCAGGCCTTTCCTACAAGGATCAGGTGTGCTATAAAGATCAATCAGTATGCTAGTCCAGGAAATCTGTGCCAGTTACCTTTGTTAACCAAACTGTTATACAGAAATTTGAATATGTAACCAATGAGCACCAAAAAAAAGAAGTACTGGCTGCAGAAGAAATCTAGTTAATTCAAAGAGAAGAAGAAAAGAGTTTTAAGTATAATTAAAGTCTTCAGAAAGATTTGAAATTATTTGTAATAAATAGGAAGAGAATAGATTGGTATGAAAAGAAGCAATTACAGAACAAATGAGCACTTGAGAATTAGAAATACGATTGACAAAATAAAAAATAGAAGAGATGGGTAATATTTGGTCTGGAATGTAAAGCTGAAAACTTTTTTTTTTTCTGAATAGAACAAATGAGCACTTGAGAATTAGAAATACGATTGACAAAATAAAAAATAGAAGAGATGGAATGTAAAGCTGAAAACTTTTTTTTTTTCTGAATTAAAGCAAAACACAGCTAGAAAATGTGGAAATTAAGTTAC